GTATTCTTGTAACAATCAAAAATTAAAAGATGCCAATGAAATAAATATAAATAAGGTATTAACATTACACCGCTAATAGGATTTTTTATATTGTACATGCGCCAATGTGCACTCTTAGATGTTTATAGGAATTTCCTATCATATAGTTTGAATGATTTGTAGAAACATATATAAAGTTAGCAGAGATGCTGTTTAGTAAAGTAATTGCGAAATAATCAATAATCTTGCCTTCAATCCAATTTTCATTTTTTAAAGTTCAAAATTCTTCTGCAATAAGATTATAAATATCAAATTCTGTTACTGATGCATTTGTTATTGATCCATATTGTTCAATTGTAAATGTAGAGTCTGGTGATTTCATATAATATTCGACATCCAAAAATAACCCATTTTTAAGGACATTTGCATGAGTAGAACTTTCGCTTAAGTTCAATTCTGATAAATCTATTGTATTTTTATTTGATATAGGCGTACTTGTACGAAAGTTATACTTTCTAGCTATGCGTCCTAAGGAGCGAGCTTCAAAATAACTGTACAAAGGTTTTTACTTTTTTTGCCACGTTTCTTCTATTAATTCATTATTTGTGTCTTGTGTATTACAATATTTAATATTACGTTTTCTGCGTTTTATAGATATATTCAATTCAATTCAGCGCATACTTGTGTTGTATAATCTTTTATTTTTTTAACAAAACGTCCAACTTTTAAGTTTACTTCATCATTTAAAACATTTTTTTTACAATATTAAAAAAACTTTCAACATTCGCATTGCTTAATCGAATTTTATCAGGTGTAACCAGTTTTAATAGTAACGCAGACCACATTGGAACAAAAGGCATGTAATGACTTGTAATGTAATCTGCAATTTCTGGAGCATAGTATTTATTATCTTTTACACTATTTTTTTCAACAGTATTTTTTAAATCGCACAATTTCGATATGTATCTTTTAAAAAATGGCGAATTAATGAAAATTCGACCTTCTGGCTCATTATTGTCTACAAAGTCTGCGTCACTTCAAAATCTGAGTTTACATCGTGTATTTCATTCTCAAATTTATATTTTAAAGCATAAAATTTTTTCATATCAATAATACTATTATGAGCCTCTTTGTTAGATGATGTCAATAATAAGATCATAAAAATTTTCATAACAATAATCTAAATCGTTTAAAGTGTTACAATGTATCAATATACCCATGCACTCTAATATGAGACTTTTATTTTTAATACTTTTCGAAAATTTGTTAGAAATAGTAGACAAAATGCGCTTTTGAAAGTGTGCACAACAGCTATGTACAACAATTAAGTTTGAACGTATTATTTCTTCCTTATTAAGCGTTATGTAAACTTCTTCTAAATATTGTGATACTGTTAGTGTATTCCACTCGTTTATAATTGCATTAATTAATGCCCAACTCCAGTCGACAACGATAACTGAGAATAATGGCCAGCTAAAACGTTTAGTTGGCAAAAAATGTCGGAATGTTTTCAAAAATATGCTAATTGCATTAATATCGTGTACTGCGGTTATCATTTCAGCTACTGGAAGTATAGTACCATTCTTATTAACAACGATTGCATAATATAGAATGCGTTTGCACTTTATACCTTTTGGTTTACGGATAATAGAGCCAGTAGCATCAAAATGAATTATAATGTCATTTTTATCCAATACATTAATTTGTTTCTTTGTATACATATATACATGGAATGGCAAACCTACATTTCGTATATATGGATCATTAGATTCTTGATCTATAATATATTTCTGAAATAAATCAGATAAATCGTATGAAGAAAGATATGAGTCATTTTTTTTATTTTCCTCAGATTTTGCTTTTTGATAAGTACTAAGTCTACGCAATTCTTCAAAATATCCATCATTAGCAAGTTCATGATCCATATTTTCGAGGACAACATTCGAGGAGATATATAATTCATTTTTAACTTTGCCTGATCTCGCGATTCACCTTTTAAATAAAAAAAAATAGGTGGTTCTTTGTGCAATATTTCAGTACATTTTGTACTTGAAACAAATACATCAACAATAGCATTATTTAAATTCTCTATATCAAACTTAAATTGTTGTACATGACTGATGTATCTGCATTTTGCGTATGTTACTAAACAATCACTGTTACGTCGTATTCCGCCATAAAACTTTAACAGACATGGAAAATGTAGCAAATGTACCATATTGTATTGTATTATTTCTCGTATTTTATCTCTGTTAATGATTTCATATTCGTTAAAAATGATATTTTGTTGAATATGAAATCGTCCTTGCAAAATGGAAAATTTCTTTTGTACTTGTAAGTTCACGTTCTTTTGATGAAATTGTATGGAACTATCATTATTGTCGCTTTTACTATTAAATGTATTATCGCTATTACTTACGCAATCTATGTTATTTTCGCATTGCATATCAACATCAGTCAACTTTTTCTTGTCATTTTTTTATAAAATTGTATAGAACTGTCACTATTGTCGCCTTTACTGCTAAATGTATTATCACTATTATTCACGCAATCTATGGTACTTTCGCATTGCATATCAATATCAGTCAACTTTTCCATGTCCTTTTCATTAAAAAGTAATTTACGCGTCGATCTTACAGTACATCGCTGTGGTGTAGCTAAAACTATTGTGTAACGGTTCATAATTTATTTCGTGTAACGTTTCATTACAATGTTTTGAAGTAGTCTCTTCATGTACAGATTTTATCATAATATTCGTTGTATCTTTGGATCGAGATTGTAATACATTTAGTACAATACTTCGTATATTTCCCTGATTGTTATTCCATATCCTTTTATAATTCAAGAATTTCTTTCGATCAAATTTTTTTTTCTGTTTTGAAATAGCTGGAAAAACAAAAATGCATAAATGTAAAATTAGATATAAAATTAAACAAATACATAAATGTAAAATAGAAAAATTTTTATAATAAACTTACTAGGAGAGGCCGCGTGATGTTGCTCTCAGATTTAGATCAACTTTTTACTATTTGTAGGGGGAGTGCCCTGCGTGCATACCTAAAATGTTAGGTGTAGATGGCCAGCCATTCGTTAGTAATTAACAAAGAAACATTTTATGTCCGGTAAATTTCTATATTCTAACTCAATTTGCAAGGTATTCCCCAAACACTACGAACTTTTTAATAATTTTTTCGTATTCAGGAAGTCAAAATCTACAAACAACACTATTCCTTCTACTTAGACTTTTGGAGGCAAAAATCGATCATTTTTTATTATCTTCTCTCAGCTAAACTAGAATGTAAAAAAAAGTGATCGATTTTTTTTGTAATTTTGACCTCCTGGATACGAAAAAATTATTAAAAAGTTCGTAATGTTTAATAACACTTTGCAAATTGAGCTAGAATATAGAAATTTACCTGACATAAAATGTTTCTTTGTTAATTACTAACGAATGGCTGGTCATCTACACCTAATATTTTAAGTGTACTCAGGACACCTCTCTCTTCTTACAAATGGTAAAAAGTTGATCTAAATCCAAGAGCAACATCACGCGGCCTCTTCTTGGTAGTGAAAGAAATTATAACTTTAAGTATGTAATTAAAATTTTTCTATAAAAAATTATTATTAATTAAAAGATAACATCTTATCTCTTTCTTCTGTAAATTCTTTTCAGTTTATATATATATAATATTTAAAAGAAGACACTTACTAATTCGCAAACAGATCCTTTCCCACAAAATCAAAGTTAATATCTTCTATGGAATTCATCAAATTACATAATATTTCTGCAAATCTCCTTATTTCAATAGAGTTGATTTTTGTAAATTATCCATTTTACTGTTTGGATAGCAATATTAATCACAAAGTACGTATAAATGCATACGCAACAACATAACACTTTTGATATATAATAAACCTTCTATTATATTTCGAAAAAATAAAATTTCACAGAGAATCAAGCATTTGTGCTACACAACACCGTAGAAGCCACCGTTTTAGAAAATCGCTCCTGAAACGTTCCAAACTTCAACCAGTTAAACCGGTGAATTAAAATTATGTACATAATAAAGATCGATGACATAAACAAAATTATGTGCATAATAGAAACTCGGCAAATTAAAATAATATTAATTAAATTAATCACAAATTGTAAAACTGACAAACAACTTGGTTGTGATTCAAGCCGCGAAACAAACTTCGAAACAAGCAGCCATCGCGGAAAAAACTCTTAATACTTCGATTAAAATTAAATTTACTTAGTTAACATATCTTTTTTTAAAGAAAGGGTTTATGACTTAACGATATCGCCAAATTTAGAACAGATCCCAATTGGCTTTGATTAAACAACAGAGATTTTCAAGACATCTGAATCTTCTATTAGTAAATCTGTTGAAGAAGATCGTAATATTCAAAATAATGAGAAAAACAAATGCTTATCCCGTTTCATATCTCATTTTGTATTGCATGTGTATCTGTTACTACAAGTGTTTGTTGTAATTTTTTAAATTTTACATATTTATTGTAGGCAGTGTTGTGCTTATTGTTAGATGATTTATAATTAGCAAAATAAAGATGAGATGAATATGTAAATTTACCTCATCGTTAGATAAAATTAAAATGATATTGTTTTAAATATATAAAAGATAAAATTATGTGGCGATTTATCTAGATAACTTCCAAATAATATAATTTTTAAGATCGTTTATGTAGACACAGTTATAAAAAAAGTAAATTATAAATGGGATATAAAAATATATTCATACTTTTATTTCTAAATTTTTATCGCTTCTTGCTTAAGTTTCTAGTAATTAATTATTTTTATATATATGCTATGACTCTAAAACAAATTATCTGAATAATTTACGAAAGGGTTATGATTAGTAATTAGTACTTTCTTTCATCTAAGATGCAAATATAGATCATACACCTTTTTTATTATCTATAACAAGATAAGAGTGCGCCAAAATTTCATATAACTGATCATCTATAAAAATATATTTAGATAAAAAACACTGATTGTAGGATCCGCAACCACCAGAACCATGGTCCAGCGATAGAGACGCTTTGTCTTACGGATACAATTGTCTTCAAGTGGATATGAACGACACAGTCTGCAACGAAGACTGTCTCTATTTGAACGTGTATACCAATGATATGACGACTTCAAAGAAAAACGCTGTGATGGTGTGGATACATGGTGGAGGCTTTTTTGTGGGAGACAGCACCTCGGCTTTGTACGGTCCCGATTATATCATGCGGAAGGATGTGGTACTCGTCACCCTGAATTACAGATTAGGTGTTCTAGGTACATTATTAATTAACTCAAAATCATTTTATGTCACTTGCGTTCAATAATCTACCTTTTTTTTTAAGTAAACACATACACACGCATTCTACTTTCCACGATCCAAATAATTTACGTCTATGTATGATTTTTTTAAACTACCAATTTTAAAACAATAATCAATTATCATAACTTTTTAATAAATGTTTTTTTTTAACAATTGTCGAATTATAAGTAATTAAAAAAACTCGTGAAATCAATTTATTTAATTGTTGAAATTTTTATATATTTACATAATTTATATAAATAAATAAGGAATATTAAATAATCGGCCAAACTAACACAGATTAAAAGTTCGAACATGTGGTTGTGGTTCTTTTCAAGTGAAAAACGTTAAAAACATTTTAACCACATGGTCAAAACGTCGTGAAACTTAATTAATTTTAATTTGTGCTAGTTTGGTCGGCTATTTAATATTCCTTATTTTACTGACTAGCGAATACGAATATTTAAGACTTGATAGTAAACTTTACTAAACGTATTAACGACATGTTTCTCTCATTCTCTCTTTAGGTTTTCTCAATTTTGATGAGAAAATGGCAACAGGAAATCAGGGCTTAAAAGATGTAGTTATGGCGTTAAGATGGATTAAAAGAAATATATTGCAATTCGGTGGAGATCCCGATAACGTCACAATTTTTGGTCAAAATGCGGGTGGAGTAATGGTTCATTATTTAACTATTTCACCGTTAGCTAAAGGTACGAATCAACAGGACATAATATTAATATACATATATTAAGAATATTAGAAACACATTTTACACAAAAAAAATTTAAAACATTTTATAGATTTGCTGTAGCAAAAAAATTTTAATAAGATTTTTTTTTTCATTCTAACTTAAATTTCGATTGCAAACTATATAATATCGACGTTTTAAAACATCGTAGAAAATTACTTAGAAGATACCTAATAACATCTTTCAGTAAAAAAATATCGATTCTAAATTGAGAATTGAAAATTAAAACCACGCTAATTAATTTTATGTGTCACATCGAGTCAAAGAGGAAAAATGTAAAAATCTCATGATAAAATCATATTAAACTTCAAGTGTCAATTATATTATGTGCACATGTGTGCTTAACAGGTTTATTTCATAAAGCAATATGTCAAAGTGGTGTCATGACAGTTCCTTGGGCTTTCACTGAACAAGACGATGCTATCAATAACGGTCTGATGTTAGCTCAGAAGCTTGGTAATGCGACTTTTGATCCGGAAGACGCCTTGAAATTTCTGAAAGACATAGACGGAAGAAAATTGATAGCAGCGGAGGTCTTTTGACGCTCTATTACGATTATTGCAATAATAATGTTCGATGAATTACTATAAACTATTTTTTATATTAAGAATATTATGTTCTTGCAGATTGGCTTAGATATTTTGCTTGCATTTACGCCGACCGTGGATTCCAAGTCATCGAATCCTTTTTTACCAGAAAATCCATTGCAATTATTACGTAATGGAATTGAAATACCAATTATGTTCGGATATAATAACCAGGAAGGCAATTGTTTCATTAATGCCACTTTTGTCGGCCGTAAAATATATATATTTGCTTTTGCTTTTCATTATTACACATTATTAATTATTAGTATATCATGAATCACTATTTTATGTAGAATTTTCATAGAAAAACGATCTGCAATATTTTGAAAATGTTTTGATGAACATAGAATGTTATAATAAATTTAATTAATATTAATAATTAATAGCACAAAATATATTAATAGCAGTACAAAATAATTATTAATTATTTATTAATAAAACCGTTTTGTTTCTACGTAATAGAGCTACATATATATTTATAATACCTAAATAAGAAATCATTATAGAAATTAAAAATTAAAATTAAAATTAAAATAAATAAAATCAAATAAAATTAAAATTAAAATCGTTATAAAAATTGTTTCAGTGTTAAACAACGAGACTTTAAAGGAAATTGATTATGATTTCAAGAAAGCCATATATCCTAGAGTTTTGCGTCAATTACCACAACTTGGGATCACGGTACCAGAATTACGATCATTGTATTTTGGTAATAAAACAGTGTCGGAGGAAACTATAAATTATCTTTCTGATTTTATCGGCGATCAGCATATCTATAGAGGCATTATACAAGCAATTGATACTCAAATGAATTCTAATGTTAACGAGTCGACTTACTTGTACAAATTTTCGTACAAAAGTGAAACCTCTCCTGTGAAGAAAATATTTTTTCAAAAACCGCTTTCAGGTATTGCGTTGTTAATTAAAATAGAACTATGTAAGAATCAAATTAATATTACAGTTAGAAAAGAAGTAAACGTGAAATTTTTTTCTACATATGATTATAAAAAGACACACGTAGTTCTGGAGAAATTTGATTTAAAAAATTTAGAGAACATTTAAATATAAATTTTATAATGCACTTGTAATGTATGGAAAAAATTATCAACGTTTGAAATTAATTTACGTAACAATATTTTGCAGGTACATCTCACTTCGAGGAACTGGGCTATTTATTTTATCCTCATATAGGAAAAACATTCGGTGTGTTACCATTTGCACGTGGTACGCCGGATTATAAAATTATGGAATACTTAACGCAGATGTGGACAAATTTTGCTAAAACGGGGTACCGTAGACTTGACATTTCTTATACGAATATTTACTGTGACATCGTACAATCACGTAATAATAATCAATTACACATTTATTGCAGAAATCCAACACCTTCTTCAGCTAATTTTACATGGTCTCCAGTGAAAAATGGAACTACGTATGATTATTTAAATATTATTAAAAAACCTCGAATGAAGATTCTTATTAAAGGAAACCAACGATGGGATTGGGAGAACAGACTTAAATTATCAAAAGGTTATACCAAATTCGAACAATTTTCTACCACACAGAACCATTCGTTAACTATACGAAACTTTACACAGACCTATAGTATGAGATAAAATAAAAAGAAATCTAACTCTAAAATTAAATTCCTCCGAAAAAAACCTTTTAGTTCAAAAACTGACAAACTAACAAGACTGACAGTGAGAAACAGATTGATGTGTCAATGGAGATCATTTGGAGACGATTTTTTCTCGGCAAAAATGTCGAGGCACCAATAATTTTCGAGTTATAAGCGATTGAAAAAAATTAAGTTTTTCGTTTAATTATAACTTAAGCCTTATTATACCTTATTATTATACATTATTACTATAATTATAAATTAGAAATTAAGCCTTGTGAAAATGAAATATTAACAAAACTACATTCTTTATTATAATAGAATTTTAATTTAAGATTTAGTTACTAAAATATATGTATGTACATGGTAAAAATTGGAAACAGAAAAAATTATGACATCCCTCTCGACATTTTTGCTGAAGAATATAATTTTGAGATACTCTGTATATATAATTCTATATACCTGTATAAAAATCTAACCCTTATAGAAATTTATCACTAGTAACACCAATTTATCTCTTATTTTGAGTGCTTATTCACTTATTTCGAGTACTTAAATTATTGTATTTTATTATTTTAAGTACTCGAAATAAATGATTAATTGGCGTTACTAATGTTAAATTTCTACAAGGGAACTACGTTGTAACTTTTGGTAACACTTAAAATTTAACCATATATAGCAACTAATATATTTTTCCTTTTTCAAAAAAATGACATTGAAAAGTATCTGTTCATTGTTATAGTTGTACATATATCTTGTACAATAAAGATTAGTAGTTGTTGTACAGATAGCAAAATTATTTATAAGGAAAATTAATTTTGTTAAATAAAAAGATTCTTTATCTGCAACTAGACAAATTCTGTTTGCAATATTAAAGAATTTGTTAATAGTAGTTTTATTGCTGTTACAATCTATATATTTAATAGAAGCGACGTTTTCCTTGTACCATACAAAATAATTATTTATAATGTCTTCATATTTATGAAGATACGAACTCTATTTTGACATCGCGTAGTTATTGGATCACAATAAAAAAATGTCTATATATGTTTATATAAAAGTACTTATTTTTCGCAATAAATTAGCCAGAGCATAAATTTTTCAGAGTCATCCTTCGCCGCATCGTCGAACAGAGTAACAGTAAATGTGTTTGAGGGGACATTAGTCGGCATCGTCGAAGAAAGCATCTATGCTTCTTACATTGCCTTTCGTGGAATATCACATGCTAAACCTCCAGTGGGTGATCTCAGATTTCAAGTAAGTACAGATAATGATTATAAATATTACCATCTTTGTTAAATGTTTCACTTTGACAAGTGATACAAACTGTTTGTTGGATAATTTTATAGGTGTAACATTTTATCCATGTAACATTTAGCCCTAGTCTCCCCTACTTTTCGAACGTTGGAAAAAATAGAAATGTAAAAAATATAGTAACTTTGTTTAAACTTTATCTTTATAGAAAAACACGCATTCTTAGAAAATAATAACTTCTAGAAACTTTTAAAAAGTTACAAGAATAATATGCACTCGTGACCTTATGCAATATAAGGTATATCCAATAGAGGTAGACAAATGAATCGATAATTTATTCCTTCTCATTAATTTTTTTAAAATACTAGAACAACAAAAGCGCGCTACGAGCGCGCGCCACATTTCTCAATTTTATATTAACTTTTAATACTTTAGAACTTGCCGAAAATACATTTTTCCTAATATTAGTATTATTCTTCCTAATATTAGTTTTATTTTTCATATTAGTTTTGTTTTTCCTAATATTAGTTTTATTTTTCCTAATATTAGTATTATTTTTCTTCATATTAGTAGTATTTTTTCTCAGGTTAGTTTTATGTTTCCTCAAGTTAATTTTTCTCCTAATATTAGTTTTTAATATTAGTTAACTGGCAAAAAGAAAAGAAACTGCAGTAATTCTCTCCCAAAGAATTTAAAAAAGTTTTTAGTGCTCTGCATTTAAGCATCTAAAAAACTATAAAGATTTTTTTACATAATATATATTCAGCCTAATTATATTTATTCAAGTGTTATTATACAATATTGTATAAAAATCAGATAGTTTACAATAAAAGTTTAGTTTGCGATTACAAAACAATCTCGATTTCAGATAATTAAATTAGGATCAAATTCAAAAACTTCTTTAATTTGCCTTTTTTAAATTTCTCTCGAATTTGTGATATATAATTTATTCTGTAAATATATATTAAATTTAATTTTTTAATAGCATAACAAAGCATTCGACCAACGACTCTAACGAGTGCCGAAAAGTTCAAACGACGTCAATTCTTTTTAACTGCTAGTCTGAGAACGAACATTTTTTTTCTCAACGCTTACACACAGTGTTTCGACCGAATAAGAATAAAATGTTGCGATTGAGAATGGCAGAAACGTTACATTACGTAAATAATTATACGAAGAAAACTGCATACATGTCTCTCTCTCTCTTCTCTCTCTCTCTCTCTCTCTCTCTCTCTCTCTCTCTCTCTCTCTCTTCTCTCTCTCTCTCTCTCTTGCTCTTCCCCTCCCTCCCTCTCTTTTAAGTAGATAGAATAAATAATTTTTGTATTTTGTAATGTATAAATAATTTTGGAATTTAAAAATCTAAATTTTAGATTTATTTATTTAACAACATATTTGATAAAGAATCAAATCGGTTCCGGACAGTTGTGACATGTTACTTGTTAAGGTGCAAATAAACAACGCGTGACTCGGCGAGTTTCGCGCAGCTCGTGCAAGCTCGTCAATTCGTCTTATTATAAACCTTTATTGTTCTCACGGCGCGTTAATTCGCGAATCCCGCGCCGCTGGTCGTGCTGTATGAACTTTAAAGAAACCCATTTGTCATTTAAAAATGTCTTGTCAACGAGAACACATCATTTCTTGTGCAGCAGCTTGCTACGTATTAATGAGTGGTGATTATTTTTAAAGAAAAAAAACGTAGAAGACGATGGTGGATGGTATCATTAAATAAAAGTCGGGCTATGTAAGTTTTATATATATTCACTTATAATGTTTTTGAAACGTACAAATGATTTATACCATTTTTAATAATTATGTGACTTATTACAGATATAACGCGACCGACATGCTATACGATTTAATTAAAAACTTTCTGGTAAATTCCAATTTTTCTGTACAATGTCAACAGCAGATTTTGTGAATATCTACTTAACAAATGTAAAAATTCCCCTACTGATTCATTTGACCAATCCATTGCGCTTTGCACAAACCACGAATCTATTCGAGCCTGTGTGAATGCGTTTACGGGACAAGCGACAAGCGGCGTGTTTCTTTTGACTCGTATGTACTTATCGACGATCAACGGAAAAGACGCGCCGCGCCAAGCCTTCTCGCGTTATAAGTCTATTCACACGACTCGCGGCGCGGCAAGTCCCGATCCAGACTCGCCGAGTCACGTGTCGTTTATATGCACCTTTAGATAAGATTAAGATTATTTTGTTTTAAATATATCTAGATAAAAGATAAAATTACATGACGATTTATCTAGATAATTTTTGGATAATATTGTTTTTAAGATAGCTTATATAGACACAGTTATAAAAAAAGTAAATCATAAATGGGATATAAAAATATATTCATACTTTATCTTTAATTTTTTAATTTTTTAAATATGTATAAATAATACATATTTTTATTATCTATATTAATATAAGAGTGCTGCAAAATTTTATCTAATTGATCATCTATAAAATTTTAATTAGATAACAAACACTGATTGTAGGATCCGCAATCACCAGAATCATGGTCCAGCGACAGAGACGCTTCGTCTAACGGAAACGTCTGTCTTCAGATGGTAACGAACATTGTCATAGGCGAAGAAGACTGTCTCTATTTAAACGTGTATACCAACGATGTAATATCTCCAAAGAAAAATGCTGTGATGGTATGGATACATGGTGGAGGCTTTTTTGTGGGAGACGGTACCTCGTTGTATTACGGTCCCGATTATATCATGCGGAAGGATGTGGTACTCGTCACCCTGAATTACAGATTAGGTGTTCTAGGTACATTATTAATTAGCTCAAAATCATTTTATGTTACTTGCGTTCAATGTTCTACCTTTTTTTAAGTAAACACATACACACGCATTCTACTTTCTACGCTCCAAATAATTTACGTGTATATATGATTCTTTTAAATTACCAATTTCAAAACAAAAATCAATTATCATAACTTTTTATAAATTTTAACGTTTCATTACTTTTTTTATAAATTATTTTTTCATTAACAATTGTCGAATTATAAGTAATTAAAAAATTCGTGCAATCAGTTTATTTAATCGTTGAAATTTTTATATATTTATATAAGTTTTATAAATAAATTAGGAATTTTAAATAATCGGCCAAACTAGCAAAAATTTAAATTTATTAAGTTTTGCGACGTTTCGAATATGTGGTTGTGTGGTCCTTTTCTAATAAGAAACGTTAAAAACATTTCAACTACATGGTCAAAACGTCGTGAAATTTATTAATTTTAATTTGTGCTAATTTGGTCGGCTATTTAATATTCCTTATTTTACTGACTAGCGAATACGAATATTTAAGACGTGATAGTAAACTTTACTGAACGTATTAACGACATGTTTCTCTCATTCTCTCTTTAGGTTTTCTCAATTTTTATAAGGAAATGGCGACAGGAAATCAGGGCTTAAAAGATGTAGTTATGGCGTTAAGATGGGTTAAAAGAAATATATTGCAATTCGGTGGAGATCCCGATAACGTCACAATTTTTGGTAAAAATGCGGGTGGAGTGATGGTTCATTATCTAACTATTTCACCGTTAGCTAAAGGTACGAATCAACAGGACATAATACTAATATACATATATTAAGAATATTAGAAACACATTTTACACAAAAAAAAATTAAAAAATTTTATAGATTTGCTGTAGCATAAAAATTTTTAATAAAATTTTTTTTTTCATTCTAACTTAAATTTTTCGATTGCAAACTATATAATATCGACGTTTTAAAACATCGTAGAAAATTACTTAGAAGATACCTGATAACATCTTTCAGTAAAAAAATATCGATTCTAAATTGAGAATTGAAAATTAAAACCACGCTGATTAATTTTATGTGTCATATCGAGTCAAAGAGGAAAAATGTAAAAATCTCATGATAAAGTCGTATTAAACTTCAAGTGACAATTATATTATGTGCGAATGTGTGCTTAACAGGTTTATTTCATAAAGCAATATGTCAAAGTGGTGTCATGACAGTTCCTTGGGCTTTCACTGAACAAGACGATGCTATCAATAACGGTCTGATGTTAGCCCAGAAGCTTGGTAATGCGACTTTTGATCCGGAAGACGCCTTGAAATTTCTGAAAGACATAGACGGATGAAAATTGATAGCAGCGGAGGTCTTTTGACGCTCTATTACGATTATTGCAATAATAATGTTCGATGAATTACTATAAACTATTTTTTTATATTAAGAATATTATGTTCTTGCAGATTGGCTTAGATATTTTGCTTGCATTTACGCCGACCGTGGATTCCAAGTCATCGAATCCTTTTTTACCAGAAAATCCATTGCAATTATTACGTAATGGAATTGAAATGCCAATCATGTTCGGATATAATAGCCAGGAAGGCAATTTTTTCATAAATGCCCTTGTGGTCGGCCGTAAGTATATATATTTGTTTTTGCTTTCCATTATTACACATTATTAATTATTAGTATATCATGAATCACTGTTTTATGTAGAATTTTCATAGATAAACGATCTGCAATATTTTGAAAATGTTTTGATGAACATACAATGTTATAATAAATTTAATCAATATTAATAAGTTTCAGGATTTCATCAATATATAACTTTTAAATGTACAAAAAGATTATTAATTATTTATTAATAAAACCGTTTTGTTTCTACGTAATAGAGCTACATATATATTTATATTACCTAAATAAAAAATCATTATAGAAATTAAAAATTAAAATTAAAATTAAAATAAATAGAATCAAATAAAATTAATATTAAAATCGTTATAAAAATTGTTTCAGTGGTAAACAACGAGACTTTAAAGGAAATTGATTATGATTTCAAGAAAGCCATATATCCTAGAGTTTTGCGTCAATTACCACAACTTGGGATCACGGTACCAGAATTACGATCATTGTATTTTGGTAATAAAGCAGTGTCGGAGGAAACTATAAATTATCTTTCTGATTTTATCGGCGATCAGCATATCTATAGAGGCATTATACAAGCAATTGATACTCAAATGAATTCTAATGTTAACGAGTCGACTTACTTGTACAAATTTTCGTACAAAAGTGAAACCTCTCCTGTGAAGAAAATATTTTTTCAAAAACCGCTTTCAGGTATTGCGTTGTTAATTAAAATAGAACTATGTAAGAATCAAATTAATATTACAGTTAGAAAAGAAGTAAACGTGAAATTTTTTTCTACATATGATTGTAAAAAGACACACGTAGTTCTGGAGAAATTTGATTTAAAAAATTTAGAGAACATTTAAATATAAATTTTATAATGCACTTGTAATGTATGGAAAAAATTATCAACGTTTGAAATTAATTTACGTAACAATATTTTGCAGGTACATCTCACTTCGAGGAACTGGGCTATTTATTTTATCCTCATATAGGAAAAACATTCGGTGTGTTACCATTTGCACGTGGTACGCCGGATTATAAAATTATGGAATACTTAACGCAGATGTGGACAAATTTTGCTAAAACGGGGTACCGTAGACTTGACATTTCTTATACGAATATTTATTGTGACATCGTACAATCACGTAATAATAATCAATTACACATTTATTGCAGAAATCCAACACCTTCTTCAGCTAATTTTACATGGTCTCCAGTGAAAAATGGAACTACGTATGATTATTTAAATATTATTAAAAAACCTCGAATGAAGATTCTTATTAAAGGAAACCAACGATGGGATTGGGAGAACAGACTTAAATTATCAAAAGGTTATACCAATTCGAACAATTTTCTACCACACAGAACCATTCGTTAACTGTACGAAACTTTACACAGACCTATAGTATGAGATAAAATAAAAAGAAATCTAACTCTAAAATTAAATTCCTCCGAAAAAAAACCTTTTAGTTCAAAAACTGACAAACTAACATAAGACTGACAGTGAGAAACAGATTGATGTGTCAATGGAGATCATTTGGAGACGATTTTTTCTCGGCAGAAATGTCGAGGCACCAATAATTTTCGAGTTATAAGCGATTGAAAAAAATTAAGTTTTTCGTTTAATTATAACTTAAGCCTTATTATACCTTATTATTATACATTATTACTATAATTATAAATTAGAAATTAAGCCTTGTGAAAATGAAATATTAACAAAACTACATTCTTTATTATAATAGAATTTTAATTTAAGATTTAGTTACTAAAATATATGTATGTACATGGTAAAAATTGGAAACAGAAAAATTATGACATCCCTCTCGACATTTTTGCTGAAGAATATAATTTTGAGATACTCTGTATATATAATTCTATATACCTGTATAAAAATCTAACCCTTATAGAAATTTATCACTAGTAACACCAATTTATCTCTTATTTCGAGAGCTTACTCACTTATTTCGAGTACTTGAATTACTGTATATCAAAATTTTAAGTACTCGAAATAAGTAATTAATTGGCGTTACTAATATTAAATTTCTACAAGGGAACTACGTTGTAACTTTTAGTAACACTTAAAATTTTTCTTATATTTTTCTTTTTCAAAGGAATGACATTGAAAAGTATCCGTTCGTTGTTATAGTTGTACATACATATATCTTGTGTAATAAAATTTATTAGTTGTACAGATAGCAAAATGTTTTATAAAGAAATATAATTTTGTTACATAAGAAGATTCTTTATCTGCAACTAGACAAATTTGGTTTGAAATATCGAAGAATTTGTTAATAGTAGTTTTATTGCTGTTACAATGTATATATTTAATAAGAGCGACGTTTTCCTTGTAGCGCACAAAATAATTATTTATTCATAATGTCTTCATGTTTATCAAGATACGAACTCTATTTTGACATCGCGCAGCTATTGGATCATGATAAGAAAATGTCTATATATGTTTATATATAAATACTTATTTTTCGCAATAAATTAGCCTGAGCATAAATTTTTCAGAGTTATCCTTCGCCGCATCGTCGAACAGAGTAAAAGTAAATGTGTTTGGAGGGACATTAGTCGGCATCGTCGAGGAAAGCATCTATGGTTCTTACAATGCCTTTCGTGGAATATCATATGCTAAACCTCCAGTGGGTGATCTCAGATTTCAAGTAAGTACAGATAATGATTATAAATATTACCATCTTTGTTAAATGTTTCACTTTGACAAGTGATACAAACTGTTTGTTGGATAATTTTATAGGTGTAACATTTTATCCATGTAACATTTAGCCCTAGTCTCCCCTACTTTTCGAACGTTGGAAAAAATAGAAATGTAAAAAATATAGTAACTTTGTTTAAACTTTATCTTTATAGAAAAACACGCATTCTTAGAAAATAATAACTTCTAGAAACTTTTAAAAAGTTACAAGAATAATATGCACTCGTGACCTTATGCAATATAAGGTATATCCAATAGAGGTAGACAAATGAATCGATAATTTATTCCTTCTCATTAATTTTTTTAAAATACTAGAACAACAAAAGCGCGCTACGAGCGCGCGCCACATTTCTCAATTTTATATTAACTTTTAATACTTTAGAACTTGCCGAAAATACATTTTTCCTAATATTAGTATTATTCTTCCTAATATTAGTTTTATTTTTCATATTAGTTTTGTTTTTCCTAATATTAGTTTTATTTTTCCTAATATTAGTATTATTTTTCTTCATATTAGTAGTATTTTTTCTCAGGTTAGTTTTATGTTTCCTCAAGTTAATTTTTCTCCTAATATTAGTTTTTAATATTAGTTAACTGGCAAAAAGAAAAGAAACTGCAGTAATTCTCTCCCAAAGAATTTAAAAAAGTTTTTAGTGCTCTGCATTTAAGCATCTAAAAAATTATAAAGATTTTTTTACATAATATATATTCAGCCTAATTATATTTATTCAAGTGTTATTATACAATATTGTATAAAAATCAGATAGTTTACAATAAAAGTTTAGTTTGCGATTACAAAACAATCTCGATTTCAGATAATTAAATTAGGATCAAATTCAAAAACTTCTTTAATTTGCCTTTTTTAAATTTCTCTCGAATTTGTGATATATAATTTATTCTGTAAATATAGATTAAATTTAATTTTTTAATAGCATAACAAAGCATTCGACCAACGACTCTAACGAGTGCCGAAAAGTTCAAACGACGTCAATTCTTTTTAACTGCTATTCTGAGAACGAACATTTTTTTTCTCAACGCTTACACACAGTGTTTCGACCGAATAAGAATAAAATGTTGCGATTGAGAATGGCAGAAACGTTACATTACGTAAATAATTATACGAAGAAAACTGCATACTCTCTCTCTCTCTCTCTCTCTCTCTCTCTCTCTCTCTCTCTCTCTCTCTCTCTCTCTCTCTCTCTCTCTCTCTCTCTCTCTTGCTCTTCCCCTCCCTCCCTCTCTTTTAAGTAGATAGAATAAATAATTTTTGTATTTTGTAATGTATAAATAATTTTGGAATTTAAAAATCTAAATTTTAGATTTATTTATTTAACAACATATTTGATAAAGAATCAAATCGGTTCCGGACAGTTGTGACATGTTACTTGTTAAGGTGCAAATAAACAACGCGTGACTCGGCGAGTTTCGCGCAGCTCGTGCAAGCTCGTCAATTCGTCTTATTATAAACCTTTATTGTTCTCACGGCGCGTTAATTCGCGAATCCCGCGCCGCTGGTCGTGCTGTATGAACTTTAAAGAAACCCATTTGTCATTTAAAAATGTCTTGTCAACGAGAACACATCATTTCTTGTGCAGCAGCTTGCTACGTATTAATGAGTGGTGATTATTTTTTAAAGAAAAAAAACGTAGAAGACGATGGTGGATGGTATCATTAAATAAAAGTCGGGCTATGTAAGTTTTATATATATTCACTTATAATGTTTTTGAAACGTACAAATGATTTATACTATTTTTAATAATTATGTGACTTATTACAGATATAACGCGACCGACATGCTATACGATTTAATCAAAGAATTTTCTGGTAAATTCCAATTTTTCTGTACAATGTCAACAGCAGATTTTGTGAATATCTACTCAACAAATGTAAAAATTCCCCTACTGATTCATTTGACCAATCCATTGCGCTTTGCACAAACCACGAATCTATTCGAGCCTGTGTGAATGCGTTTACGGGACAAGCGACAAGCGGCGTGTTTCTTTTGACTCGTATATCCTTATCGACGATCAACAGAAAAGACGCGCCGCGCCAAGCCTTCTCGCGCTATAAGTCTATTCACACGGCTCGCGGCGCGCCAAGTCCCGAGCCAGACTCGCCGAGTCACGTGTCGTTTATATGCACCTTTAGATAAGATTAAGATTATTTTGTTTTAAATATATCTAGATAAAAGATAAAATTACATGACGATTTATCTAGATAATTTTTGGATAATATTGTTTTTAAGATAGCTTATATAGACACAGTTATAAAAAAATGTAAATCATAAATAGGATATAAAAATATATTCATACTTTACCTTTAATTTTTTAATTTTTTAAATATGTATAAATAATACATATTTTTATTATCTATATTAATATAAGAGTGCTGCACAATTTTATCTAATTGATCATCTATAAAATTTTAATTAGATAACAAACACTGATTGTAGGATCCGCAACCACCAGAACCATGGTCCAGCGACAGAGACGCTTCGTCTAACGGAAACGTCTGTCTTCAGATGGTAACGAACATTGTCATAGGCGAAGAAGACTGTCTCTATTTGAACGTGTATACCAACGATGTAATATTTCCAAAGAAAAGTGCTGTGATGGTATGGATACATGGTGGAGGCTTTTTTGTGGGAGACGGTACCTCGTTGTATTACGGTCCCGATTATATCATGCGGAAGGATGTGGTACTCGTCACCCTGAATTACAGATTAGGTGTTCTAGGTACATTATTAATTAGCTCAAAATCATTTTATGTTACTTGCGTTCAATGTTCTACCTTTTTTTTAAGTAAACACATACACACGCATTCTACTTTCTACGCTCCAAATAATTTACGTGTATATATGATTCTTTTAAATTATTAAATTCAAAACAATAATCAATTATCATAACTTTTTTATAAATTTTAACGTTTCATAACTTTTTTTATAAATTATGTTTTCATTAACAATTGTCAAATTATAAGTAATTAAAAAACTCGTGAAATCAATTTATTTAATCGTTGTAATTTTTATATATTTATATAAGTTATATAAATAAATTAGGAATTTTAAATAATCGGCCAAACTAGCAGAAATTAAAATTTATTAAGTTTCGCGACGTTTCGAACATGTGGATGTGGTACTTTTCAAATGATAAACGTTTAAAACATTGCAACCACATGGTCAAAACGTCGTGAAACCTAATTAATTTTAATTTGTGCTAGTTTGGTCGGCTATTTAATATTCCTTATTTTACTGACTAGCAAATACGAATATTTAAGACTTGATAGTAAACTTTACTGAACGTATTAACGACATGTTTCTCTCATTCTCTCTTTAGGTTTTCTCAATTTTTATAAGGAAATGGCGACAGGAAATCAGGGTTTAAAAGATGTAGTTATGGCGTTAAGATGGGTTAAAAGAAATATATTGCAATTCGGTGGAGATCCCGATAACGTCACAATTTTTGGTCAAAATGCGGGTGGAGTGATGGTTCATTATCTAACTATTTCACCGTTAGCTAAAGGTACGAATCAACAGGACATAATATTAATATACATATATTAAGAATATTAGAAACACATTTTACACAAAAAAAAATTTAAAACATTTTATAGATTTGCTGTAGCAAAAAAATTTTTAATAAGATTTTTTTTTTCATTCTAACTTAAATTTCGATTGCAAACTATATAATATCGACGTTTTAAAACATCGTAGAAAATTACTTAGAAGATACCTGATAACATCTTTCAGTAAAAAAATATCGATTCTAAATTGAGAATTGAAAATTAAAACCACGCTGATTAATTTTATGTGTCATATCGAGTCAAAGAGGAAAAATGTAAAAATCTCATGATAAAGTCGTATTAAACTTCAAGTGACAATTATATTATGTGCGAATGTGTGCTTAACAGGTTTATTTCATAAAGCAATATGTCAAAGTGGTGTCATGACAGTTCCTTGGGCTTTCACTGAACAAGACGATGCTATCAATAACGGTCTGATGTTAGCCCAGAAGCTTGGTAATGCGACTTTTGATCCGGAAGACGCCTTGAAATTTCTGAAAGACATAGACGGAAGAAAATTGATAGCAGCGGAGGTCTTTTGACGCTCTATTACGATTATTGCAATAATAATGTTCGATGAATTACTATAAACTATTTTTTTATATTAAGAATATTATGTTCTTGCAGATTGGCTTAGATATTTTGCTTGCATTTACGCCGACCGTGGATTCCAAGTCATCGAATCCTTTTTTACCAGAAAATCCATTGCAATTATTACATAATGGAATTGAAATACCAATTATGTTCGGATATAATAGCCAGGAAGGCAATTGTTTCATAAATGCCACTTTTGTCGGCCGTAAGTATATATATTTGCTTTTGCTTTTCATTATTACACATTATTAATTATTAGTATATCATGAATCACTATTTTATGTAGAATTTTCATAGAAAAACGATCTGCAATATTTTGAAAATGTTTTGATGAACATAGAATGTTATAATAAATTTAATCAATATTAATAATTAATAGCAGGTATCTTGTATTGCCAGTGATGAATAAAATTAAAAATAACTGTGAGACGACCCAACTGGCTTAAATTGATTCTTATTATTAGTTTGATGTCATATACAAGAAAAGACAACGTTTCGACCTTAAGTTTAGGTCCTTATCAAGTCTAAAATTAAAAATTAAAAAATACAATAAATGTACATACAAGAATTTCGATTTTTAAGAAAGCAAAAAGTAAACCAAGATTGTAATAACAAATTAGAACGTACCTTACAAAATCTTTAGTACAATATATAATTAAGTTTTTTCACTTTACACATTTCAATATAAATACTGTGTCAAGTAAAACGTTCAGTATGAATGATAAAAGCGAACCTTCTTGTATGTACATTTATTGTATTTTTTAATTTTTAATTTTAGACTTGATAAGGACCTAAACCTGAAGTCGAAACGTTGTCTTTTCTTGTATATGACATCAAACTAATAATAAGAATCAGTTTAAGCCAGTTGGGTCGTCTCACAGTTATTTTTAACAATATTAATAAGTTTCAGGATTTCATCAATATATAACTTTTAAATGTACAAAAAGATTATTAATTATTTATTAATAAAACCGTTTTGTTTCTACGTAATAGAGCTACATATATATTTATATTACCTAAATAAAAAATCATTATAGAAATTAAAAATTAAAATTAAAATTAAAATAAATAGAATCAAATAAAATTAATATTAAAATCGTTATAAAAATTGTTTCAGTGGTAAACAACGAGACTTTAAAGGAAATTGATTATGATTTCAAGAAAGCCATATATCCTAGAGTTTTGCGTCAATTACCACAACTTGGGATCACGGTACCAGAATTACGATCATTATATTTTGGTAATAAAACAGTGTCGGAGGAAACTATAAATTATCTTTCTGATTTTATCGGCGATCAGCATATCTATAGAGGCATTATACAAGCAATTGATACTCAAATGAATTCTAATGTTAACGAGTCGACTTACTTGTACAAATTTTCGTACAAAAGTGAAACCTCTCCTGTGAAGAAAATATTTTTTCAAAAACCGCTTTCAGGTATTGCGTTGTTAATTAAAATAGAACTATGTAAGAATCAAATTAATATTACAGTTAGAAAAGAAGTAAACGTGAAATTTTTTTCTACATATGATTGTAAGAAGACACACGTAGTTCTGGAGAAATTTGATTTAAAAAATTTAGAGAACATTTAAATATAAATTTTATAATGCACTTGTAATGTATGGAAAAAATTATCAACGTTTGAAATTAATTTGCGTAACAATATTTTGCAGGTACATCTCACTTCGAGGAACTGGGCTATTTATTTTATCCTCATATAGGAAAAACATTCGGTGTGTTACCATTTGCACGTGGTACGCCGGATTATAAAATTATGGAATACTTAACGCAGATGTGGACAAATTTTGCTAAAACGGGGTACCGTAGACTTGACATTTCTTATACGAATATTTATTGTGACATCGTACAATCACGTAATAATAATCAATTACACATTTATTGCAGAAATCCAACACCTTCTTCAGCTAATTTTACATGGTCTCCAGTGAAAAATGGAACTACGTATGATTATTTAAATATTATTAAAAAACCTCGAATGAAGATTCTTATGAAAGGAAACCAACGATGGGATTGGGAGAACAGACTTAAATTATCAAAAGGTTATACCAAATTCGAACAATTTTCTACCACACAGAACCATTCGTTAACTATACGAAACTTTACACAGACCTATAGTATGAGATAAAATAAAAAGAAATCTAACTCTAAAATTAAATTCCTCCGAAAAAAAAACCTTTTAGTTCAAAAACTGACAAACTAACATAAGACTGACAGTGAGAAACAGATTGATGTGTCAATGGAGATCATTTGGAGACGATTTTTTCTCGGCAGAAATGTCGAGGCACCAATAATTTTCGAGTTATAAGCGATTGAAAAAAATTAAGTTTTTCGTTTAATTATAACTTAAGCCTTATTATACCTTATTATTATACATTATTACTATAATTATAAATTAGAAATTAAGCCTTGTGAAAATGAAATATTAACAAAACTACATTCTTTATTATAATAGAATTTTAATTTAAGATTTAGTTACTAAAATATATGTATGTACATGGTAAAAATTGGAAACAGAAAAAATTATAACATCCCTCTCGACATTTTGCTGAAGAATATAATTTTTAGATACTCTGTATATATAATTCTATATACCTATATAAAAATCTAACCCTTATAGAAATTTATCACTAGTAACACCAATTTATCTCTTATTTCGAGAGCTTACTCACTTATTTCGAGTACTTGAATTACTGTATATCAGTATTTTAAGTACTCGAAATAAGTAATTAATTGGCGTTACTAATATTAAATTTCTACAAGGGAACTACGTTGTAACTTTTAGTAACACTTAAAATTTTTCTTATATTTTTCTTTTTCAAAGGAATGACATTGAAAAGTATCCGTTCGTTGATATTGTTGTACATACATATATCTTGTGTAATAAAATTTATTAGTTGTACAGATAGCAAAATGATTTATAAAGAAAATTAATTTTGTTACATAAGAAGATTCTTTATCTGCAACTAGACAAATTTGGTTTGAAATATCGAAGAATTTGTTAATAGTAGTCTTATTGCTGTTACAATGTATATATTTAATAAGAGCGACGTTTTTTTTGTAGCGCACAAAATAATTATTTATTCATAATGTCTTCATGTTTATCAAGATACGAACTCTATTTTGACATCGCGCAGCTATTGGATCATGATAAGAAAATGTCTATATATGTTTATATATAAATACTTATTTTTCGCAATAAATTAGCCTGAGCATAAATTTTTCAGAGTTATCTTTCGCCGCATCGTCGAACAGAGTAAAAGTAAATGTGTTTGGAGGGACATTAGTCGGCATCGTCGAGGAAAGCATCTATGGTTCTTACAATGCCTTTCGTGGAATATCATATGCTAAACCTCCAGTGGGTGATCTCAGATTTCAAGTAAGTACAGATAATGATTATAAATATTACTATTTTTGTTAAAAGTTTCACTTTGACAAGTGATACAAACTGTTTATTGGATAATTTTATAAAACATAAAAGATACAGTAATTTACAAAAAATTAGAAATATAATCTGTTATACAGAAGAAATGATTTTTTACATAATTTTAAGACATAATTGTACATATCATTTTAGGCAAAAAAGTTATTATAAACATAAGTCCTATTTTGAACAAAGAGATATTACGTATTCAGTTTTAAGAATGACTACATTCATTAACTTATTACAATCAAATACTATGAAACTTTAAACTTGCAATACATTTGAATAATTAATATTAATTAATAAACATTTTTGAATTAATTAATAATAATTTTGCATGAATTAATATAAACCATTTTAATTACATCAGGAACAAAAATTTAAAACTAACAAGATTTGCCGAAGGTAAACTAATGTTTACAAAAATGTAATATAATTCTTTCATAGCATTTAATTTTATTAAGTTAACAAATGTTTGCGTTCTTAAACTTGAACATTATATCTTCATAACAGTTCAGAATAGGACACATTTTTACAAAAACTGTTTGCTTAAAATGATGTATACAATCGAGTTCTAGTATGCTGACCTCATATACGACGTTTTATGCATTATCGCGACAGGTAGGAAAGACTGGATATATGGTTGTGAAGTTTTTGAGAAAATTTTATGCTACGTTTTATCGGAACAATGTGTTCCTTTTTATGTTACGATTATGAAATGTATGATTATTTATAAAAATCTCTCCTCAAAGTTAAAAGTCGACCAGACTGGCAATCATTTATTATAAATAATTAGTTGAAATACAACGTTTCGGCTGTCATTGCAGCCCTTTTCAAGTAAATCTATAAAAAGTTACATAAATATAATTATAATTTTGATACACTTCATCGCTACAAATGAAGTAAATTGTGAGATGTCATCCCATCGGTTTTCTATTGCTATTTTAATTAGCTCCCACGGGGTGTTGGTGAAAAGTGAAGTTACATCCAACGAAATCATAACATGACTATCATCAATGTTTTTATCTTTGATGATTTCCACAAAGGACCAACTATCCTTGATATGAGATCGAGGTTTCTTGACTGCATTTTGCAGTATCTCACTCAAAAAGGATGCAATGTTATAAACAGGACTTCCTACCGTTGAAATTATGATACAAAGAGGATAACCTACCTTATGGATCTTTGGTAAACCATAGGCACGAGGCAAATTACCATTAGTGTCGTGTATAAAATTGAATGTGCGAATTGTGATTCCACGTATATTGGACAGACAAAGAGACATTTAGAAACGCGCATCAAAGAACATAGAAATAATATCAAAAAAGACACGACATTACATTCAGTCGTTAGTTTGCATCGGACTTGCAACGATCATGAGTTCCGTTGGGATTTTCCGCTGATCTTGCATCAAGAAAAACAAACAAGAAAAAGAGAAATTGCAGAAAGGTTTTATATAAAAAAACAACGTAAAAAGCATTAATTTACAGAAAGATACGGAGAATTTTAGTGGGATTTATGATCGTGTTCTTGACGCTATTTAACTTATTTTTATTTTTATACTTACCTATTTATTTATTTATTTGACTTTGTTATGACGTTTTAAATAGCAAAAGACACATTAGGTTTGTCTCTACTTTCTTAACGCGTAGTGACTAAGATTCTTGCTAACTGTTAACATCTATTTATTTCGCGCTCACTTCTGTCAGTTCTGCATTGTTCATCTAAACAATGTTTAATATTGTCGGTGGTTTGCAGTGAATTTGATTTACTGTATTAATTTGGTATGTAGCATATTTTTGGTTTTTGAATGTATAATTATTTGTAGCGATGAAGCGTATCAAAATTATAATTATATTTATGTAACTTTTTATAGATTTACTTGAAAAGGGCTGCAATGACAGCCGAAACGTTGTATTTCAACTAATTATTTATAATAAATGATTGCCAGTCTGGTCGACTTTTAACTTTGAGGAGAGATTTTTGTTATTTATTACTGGCAAACCTTAAGGATTATTATTCGTTTGATTATTTATCTTCAAAATGCGATAAAAGACGCCAGAATAAGTTATTTGTAACTAGGAAATATTAATTTATTTTATGAAATTTGCCAGTGTAACTTTCTACTCCGGTCCTAGGGTTATATTATTCGACGAATTTCAATTATGTACATAATTTTAATTAGCCGTATTTCAATTATATGAACATAACTTTTATTCGCCGACTTTTTATTGTGCACAAAAATTTAGTTTTTTATTTTATTATATACATAATTTTAATTCTTGAATTTCTATTATGCATATAATTTTAATTCGCCGTATTTCTATTATGTAAACAATTGAAATTGTACATAATAGAAATTCGGCTAATTAATATTATGTACATATAGAGAAGAATGAGAAGATTTTGTTTTAAATATATCTAGATAAAAGATAAATTTACATGGCGATTGATCTAGATAACTTCCGAATAATATTGTTTTTAAGATCGCTTATGTAGACACAGTTATATAAAAAATTTAGATTATAAATGAGATATAAAAATATATTCATACTTTTATTTCTAAATTTTTATCGCTTATTGCTTAAGTTATAATAATTAATTATTTCTATGCTATGACTCTAAATCAAATTATCTGAATAATTTAGTAACAATAACCCTTTCCGCCATCTAAGATGCAGATATAGATAATACATATTTCTATTATCTATATCAAGATAAGATTACTTCAAAATTTTATCTAACTGATCATCTATAAAATTTTATTTAAATTACAAACATTGATTGTAGGATCCGCAGCCACCAGAACCAAGGTCCAGCGACAGAGACGCTTCGTCTAACGGAAACGTCTGTCTTCAGAGGAAAACGAACGTTGTCATAGGCAAAGAAGACTGTCTCTATTTGAACGTGTATGCCAACGATGTGACGCCTTCAAAGAAAAGTGCTGTGATGGTGTGGATACATGGTGGAGACTTTTTTATGGGAGACGGCACCTCGTTTTATTACGGTCCCGATTATATCATGCGGAAGGATGTGGTACTCGTCACCTTAAATTACAGATTAGGTGTTTTAGGTACATTATTAATTAGCTCGAAATCATTTTGTTACTTGCGTTCGATGATCTACTTTTTTTTAAATAAACACATACGACGCATTCTACTTTCCACAATTCAAATAATTTACGTGTATGTATGATTATTTTAAAATACCAATTTCAAAATAATAACCAATTTTTATAACTTATAACTTTTTTATTAATTTTAACGTTTCGTAACTTTTTTCAAAAATTTTGTATTTTTTTAACAATTGTCAAATTATAAAGTAATTAAAAAAACTCGTGAAATCAATTTATTTAATTATCGAAATGTTCATATATTTATATAACTTACATAAATAAAATAGGAATATTAAATAATCGGCCAAACTTGCACAAATTAAAATTTATTAAGTTTCACGACGTTTCGAACATGTGGTTGTGGTCCTTTTCAAGTGAAAAACGTTAAAAACATTTCAACTACATGGTCAAAACGTCGTAAAACTTAATTAATTTTAATTTGTGCTAGTTTGGTCGGCTATTTAATATTTCTTATTTTACTGACTAGCGAATACGAATATTTAAGACTTGATAGTAAATTTTACTAAACGTATTAACGACATGTTTCTCTCATTTTCTCTTTAGGTTTTCTCAATTTTGATGAGGAAATGGCGCCGGGAAATCAGGGCTTAAAAGATGTAGTTATGGCGTTAAGATGGGTTCAAAACAATATATTGCAATTCGGTGGAGATTCCGATAACGTCACAATTTTTGGTCAAAATGCGGGTGGAGTGATGGTACACTATCTGACTATTTCACCGTTAGCTAAAGGTACGAATCAAAAACACATAATATTGATATACATATATTAAGAATATTTATGAACACATTATATACGAAAAAAAATAAAAAATGTTTATAGCTTTGCTATAGCAAAAAAATTTTTAATTAAGATTTTTTTTCATTTTAACTTAAATCTTGATTGCAAACTATATAATATCGACGTTTTAAAACGTCATAAAAAATTACTTGAAAGATAACTGATAACATCCTTCAGTAAAAAAATTTTAAATAGAGAATTGAAAATTAAAAGCACGCTGATTAATTTTATGTGTTATATTGAGTCAAAGAGGAAAAAAGTAAAGATCTCATGATAAAATCATATTAAACTTCAAGTGCCAATTATATTATGTGCGAATGTGTGCTTAACAGGTTTATTTCATAAAGCAATATGTCAAAGTGGTGTCATGACAGTTCCTTGGGCTTTTACTGAACGAGACGATGCTATCAATAACGGTCTGATGTTAGCCCAGAAACTTGGTAATGCGACTTCAGATCCAGAAGTCGCCTTGGAATTTCTGAAAGAAATAGACGGAACAAATTTGATAGCAGCGGAGGTCTTTTGACGCTCTATTACGATTATTGCAATAATAATGTTCGATGAATTACTATAAACTATTTTTTTATATTAATAATATTATGTTCTTGCAGATTGGCTTAGATATTTTGCTTGCATTTACGCCGACCGTGGATTCCAAGTCATCCAATCCTTTTTTACCAGAAAATCCATTGCAATTATTACGTAATGGAATTGAAATACCAATCATGTTTGGATATAATAGCCAAGAAGGCAATTTTTTCATAAGTGATATTGTCGGCCGTAAGTATATATATTTGCTTTTGCTTTTTATTATTACACATTATTAGAATATCATGAATCACTTTATAACGTAAAATTTTCATAGAAAGGTGATCTGCAATATTTTGAAAATGTTTTAATGTACACACAATGTTATAATAAATTTAATCAATATTAATAAATTTTAGGATTTCACAGCAGTATGTAACTTTTAAATGTACAAAGAATTATTAATTATTTATTTAATGAAATCGTTTCAAAATAATAGAGTTATATATTTATTTAAAATACCTAAATAAAAAATCGTTATATAAATTAAAAATAAAATTAAAATTAAAATACAATAAATTAAGTTAAATTAAAATTAAAATCGTTATTCAAATATTTTTAGTAGTAAACAACGAGACTTTAAAGGAATTTAATTCTGATTTCAAAAAAGCCATATATCCTAGAGTTTTGCGTCAATTATCACAAGTTGGAATCACGGTACCGGAATTACGATCATTGTATTTTGGTAATAAAACAGTGTCAAAGGAAACGATAATGAATCTTTCTGATTTTATCGGCGATCAGCATATCTATAGAGGCATTATACAAGCAATTGATACTCAAATGAATTCTAATGTTAACGAGTCGACTTACTTGTACAAATTTTCGTACAAAAGTGAAACCTCTCCTGTAAAGAAAATATTTTTTGAAAAGGCGCTTTCAGGTATTGCGTTTTAATTAAAGTAGAACAATGTAAAAATCAAATTTATATTAGAGTTAGAAAAAAAGTGAACGTGAAATTTTTTCTATATATGATTGTGAGAAAACACACGTAGTTTGGGAGAAATTTGATTAAGAAAAATTTAGAGAACATTTAAATATAAACTTTATATTGTAATGTAAGGAAAAAGTTATCAACTTTTGAGATTAATTTACGTAACAATATTTTGCAGGTACATCTCACTTCGAGGAACTGGGCTATTTATTTTATCCTCATATAAAAAAATGTTTCGGTGACTTATTAATTGCACATGGTACGCCGGATTATAAAATAATGGAATACTTAACGCAGATGTGGACAGATTTTGCTAAAACGGGGTACCATAGACTTGACATTTCTGACAAATATTTATTGTGACATCGTACAGTCGCGTAATAATAATCAATTACACATTTATTGCAGTAATCCAACACCTTCTGCAGCTAATTTTACATGGACTCCAGTGAAAAATGGCACTACGTATGATTATTTAAAAATTAATAGAAGACCTCAAATGAAGATTTTTATTAAAGAAAACCAACGATGGGATTGGGAGAACAGACTTATATTATCAAAAGGTTATACCAAATTGGAACAATTTTCTGATACAGAACCATTCGTTAACTACACTTCACATAGACCTATAGTATGAGATAAAATATGAAGAAATCTAACTAAAATTGAATAGCTCTGAAAAGAAACTTTTGATGCAAAAAACTGACAAACTAACAAAAGACTGACAGTGAGAAACAAAGTAATGTATCAATGGTGACCAAAGCTCAATCGTTTTCCCAATTTAATAGCCTCCTTTTTTTAAAACACATAATCTGTTTATTAGGTATAGGTATATGTATATATACTGTATATACATATGTATGTAGATATAGTATACATATATGTTTACTGTATGCAATATTTAGAATAATAATATGTATACTGTATACATATATTATTTTTCCAAATATTTTTTACTTTTAATACTTTTAAAGTAATCCCAAAAATATTTTACAATTCTTGGTTAAAAATTTATTAAACCCTAAACGTATGAAAAAATATATTCTTTTAAGAATAAAATGTCTTTCTTTTTCTCCATGTATCTTTATTTAAATCCTTTTTCTGTTTTTGAAAAAAAACTAATGTCCTATAAAATGATAACTGGGTTGTTACAATACTGTTATTGAATCATGCTTGACTGACCCATTCATCCAGTGAGGAAATTTTCGAGAAAAAAGAAAGAAAAAAACTAATTTATATTTTTTTTCTATTCATTATCTTCTTTTGGCTTAGACGTATGAGTTTGTAAACGAGAAGATAATCAAGAAATACAAAATCGATATTTGCGCGCTACGTATTTGATAAGTCTCGAATTATTATCAATAACGTTATCAGCGATATTCATAATGATTGTCATCAAAAAATGACGAATTATCATTCCTCGCCAGTCCAACTCGTTTTATAATCATATGCTTCCAAATTCCAAGTTCGATTGCGTAAACGTAAATATGGCCGCATTAATCCCGACGGAGACATATCGACAGTCACGCTGGGTGGATCTCGACCAGATTACTAGCGCCGATTTTGGCGTTATTCATTCAGTGTCCGTCATGCACGGCGACTGACGTGGACGTGCGCCAGGTCCAATTAATCGATATCGTCGAGGAAAATATGATCACGGCGGCCTTACTCCGCTTCGAAAGGCGCAATTACATCGCGTTCCGAGGAATACCGTACGCGAAACCGCCGGTCTGTAAACTATAGGGTTCAAGGTGAGTGCTCTCTCACGTGTCTTGTTATCCTTTTTAGCAAACTTGAAACTCGAGTTTGCCTTTCTATCCAGAAGTGGGAATTGAGGAGTTTCGGTTATACTGAAGAGTCTCGGTTATACGGAAATTACAGTTAAATAAACAATTGTAGACAAACGACTTAATTATTTCAAGTTTTTTTAATTGTTAGATAATCTCATATAATTGCGAACAATTTGGAAAATAACAATCAATCGCCATTGAATAATTTGTAAAAATTTATGGAAGAGTTTTTGAAAGTTAGGAAAAATATAATCCTTATTGTAAGTTGATTTTTAAATTACAACAATGACAATCTCAGGTGTAATCTTAAAGAATATCTCTTTCTATAATTGATTTTTAATGTGAATTAAGCTTCTCTTCTCTATGTAAGATTTGTGTAGGTTTCGCGCTCTTCACAAAAGTAAACTTTGCTTACTGATAATGGAAAGAATTAATGTTTAATTTCTTGAATAAAAAGACCTGTTTTATACAAATTCCGAAGACATGTATGACAATTTCTATTACCAATTTTATATATGTGTGCCAATGTTTTCCAATATTCTCTCGTTATATGTTTCTTACGCAAGATAAACGTATCGCATCTGTAACCCTGTTCAACAAAAAAAAATTAATCAGAAGACTAGTCGTTTCTTATAGTTTTTTGAATGCTGAATACGAATCCAAATTTTATTTCATCACGTCACAATTTTGAGAAATTTTTATAGTTACAAAAAAAATTTTTTACTTCGTTCCCAGCAAACACAGAGATGTAATATATATATATATATATATATATATATATATATATATATATCTCATTGTCAGAGTTATAACATTATATATCACAAGTAACATAGTTACATAATAAGTAAAATATAATACATCTATGTTACATGTACTACTAAATGTCAGCAACAAAAGTACTTCTCTGATATATCAGAGATATATATCACTGTACTTTAAATGTTATATATATGTTACATAATGTTGCCACTATACTACATAACAAATATATACATAACTATATAAATTTATAACATATATTTTATTCATATGTAATAATAATATATTAAATTATTCTTCTAATATTTAATAATTATTCCTAATATTTTTCTATTGTTCGTCTTACATATAAGCAAAATATATATTAAACGCATTTACACTTTGTTATATATGCATTTGAATAATATGTTATGCTAATGTATATTCATATTGTATGTTTATTAAAAATTTATAGGTATAATATTTGGAGGATTATTCTCTTATGCTGTTATTTAATTTTTTTAAGTTATTTTATATTTATTTATAGGGTTCAAGGTGAGTGCTCTCTCACGTGTCTTGTTATCCTTTTTAGCAAACTTGAAACTCGAGTTTGCCTTTCTATCCAGAAGTGGGAATTGAGGAGTTTCGGTTATACTGAAGAGTCTCGGTTATACGGAAATTACAGTTAAATAAACAATTGTAGACAAACGACTTAATTATTTTCAAGTTTTTTTAATTGTTAGATAATCTCATATAATTGTGAACAATTTGGAAAATAACAATCAATCGCCATTGAATAATTTGTAAAAATTTATGGAAGAGTTTTTGAAAGTTAGGAAAAATATAATCCTTATTGTAAGTTGATTTTTAAATTACAGCAATGACAATCTCAGGTGTAATCTTGAAGAATATCTCTTTCTATAATTGATTTTTAATGTGAATTAAGCTTCTCTTCTCTATGTAAGATTTGTGTAGGTTTCGCGCTCTTCACGAAAGTAAACTTTAAGAAAAGTTATATATATGCGTATTATACATATATATATATATATATATATATATATATATATATATATATACATACATATGTATGTATATATATATATGTATATATGTATATATATATATATATATATTTGTGTGTGTGTATACATATATATGTATATAGTGTATAATAATTTACTCTAATAAATAATATAAAATTATATATAAATGAGACATTTTATGCAGGGTATATATATATATATATATATATATATGTATATATATTACTATATGTACAAATATTATGTATATTTTGTTAATATAACTAATATACATGTATATCAATTATAATTAACTCACGCATATATGTATTAATAATATATATAATGTAAGTTAGTTATAAATATAATTAATATTTAAAAATAACACATTTTAAATAAATTATTTTGTAATTAAATTATAAATGAAATTATATAAATTAAATTTTAATTAACTTTTAATAAAATAAAATTATTTTTAAAAATCACCCAGCAAACATAAAGCGACAATAATATATACATATATGAATAACATCAGTGTTATTTATTATTATTTACTTAATGATACATGTATATCTGTATAGTTATATGTATAACTGTAATGCATATGTATGTTATATTTTTTTTTCCTGACGAGGAGGTGAAAATCTGCTACCAGACACCTCTGAATCGGTCCAGAGATAGTGCGGGGTTCAGTGCAATGGTGCGGGGGCATAATAATCCCCCCGCAGCCTTAGGTGACCCGCTAAAACCACCCCCCATAACAAGAAAGTACTACTCGATCTTATTTCAGCTCAAACTTATTGTTATTTTGTGTTTGCTGAGAGGGAAAGGGCCTCATCCCCGCCCTTTCCTGTGAGGCACAATCAAAAATTTGCCCCTCCATATTTTACACCTGAAAAAGCAAACAAATAAATTAGGGGTGAGAACGGCCCCTCCCCGCTATTCTCTGTGAAGCACGTCCAAAATTTGATGCTGCTTCTCCAAAGTACCTAAAAAAATATTAAATTGACCATACATTACTCAAGTTTCCCTGCTCTTCTAAGTACTTCAGTACTTTCATATTATCTTCGTCTACGCGTTCTGTATCCTCTTGGATCTTATCATCGTCCACGTCATTTTCCTGGGTTTCTTCAGCAATGTTGTAATCCTCATTCTTGGTGAAAAATAAAAATTGTCAGAATTCCCATAAAAATTGCGTAAAATCAGAATATCTGTATCGGAAATATTTTCACAATAAGCAACGTTCTGCTCTGTCTTTGAATGTATTTTATTTATCATTTATAGCAATACGAAAAAATGCAAAAGTGTCATTTTATCTTTAATTTTCATTGAATAATGTATCATTATATTAACGTAAATCGACGTCTTATTCTATTTTTATTGATATCTAGTGAAAAATAAAGATAGAATAATATATTAACGTTAATTTATATCTATATAAACATTATAAAATGCATTCAAAGATAGGACAAAATATAAATATTATAAAATACAATAAAAAATAGGGTAAAATATAAAAACTGATAAATCATAAACATTTCAGAAATATTCATTAATATATAAAAAATTTGTGTAAAATTACACCTATTATAGTGGGTAATTTTGAAACTCACTATAATAGTTGTAAATTTCCATTCATTTATAAATGTATAGTATACATTTAAAATTAATTTCTTAATTTGAAATAAAGTAGATTTAAATACAATCTACTTTATTTTAAATTGAGAAATTAATTTTACTTAGATTTAAGTACAATCTACTTTATTTTAAATTAAGAAATTAATTTTACTTGTATATTATACATTTATAAATAAATATAGAAATTTACAACTATTATAGTGGGTTTTAAAATTACATGTAATTTTACATAAATTTTTTACAGTGTGTGTTAAATAGAACACTTTAAAATTATTCATAAATATTCTAGCAGTAATATTGAATTATTTTGCATATTATAAATTTACTAGCTTTTCGGACCGCGCGAAGCGCGGTCCTCATATAGTCTATATTAAATTCGTTTTAACACAAAAAATTAATTCTTTTTTTTGTATTACCGCGAACTACTTCCACATTTGTTGTCCGACTTTCACGAAATTTATACCAAAATAAATGTTTAAATTTTTTTGTGGATGACTACTATGTTATCTATTTCTTTCTCCCAGATATTTTATTTTACACCGCGTTTTGCATATATTTAAATATTTATTATATAATGATAGTAATTTAATCAACCAACTCTGGCTATTTAATGATCTTTATTTAATATTCACG